GGGGCCCCCCCCCCCCCCCCCCCCCCCCGATGCAATCTCCTTTCATTCTCCGTCTGCCTCGTTCGGGCAGTTGGGGGGCCCTCTCTCGCACGCCACTAAACCACCCGCTCGCCCGCATTCAAACCATCCCGCCCCCTCCTGTCTTTCGCCATGGGCTCTCTGGAGGGGGAGGGAGGTTCTTCCCTCCCCTCCTGCGGCTGGAAAACAGGCATTTTTACAGCGGTGCAGAAACAGTCCCGGGCCGTCAGTTCCGGCTCTCCCTTCCCCAAGCAGGTCCCGTTGCTGCTTGAGCCACTTTGCTGAATCCGGTGCGGCGGCGGGACTCTTGCCATCGCTGAGAGCTTCGCTGGCAGCGGCTTCTTGCCGCTTCTTGCCTTCGGAGAGCTTTGGAAAGCCTCGGAGAGCAGCTTCTGAAGAAGCCCGGGCGACTGAGAAGAATTTTCCGCCATTACAAAGTCTCCGAGGCTGTAATAATTGTACGGGGTGTTTGCGCGCAGCTGTGTTTTCCACGGCGTGGAGCCATGGCGATGCTCTGCGTGGCCAGCGATGACTCCGGAGCCCATCCGTGGGGGATTTCGAGGAAAGCGAAGGGGAATCTAAAGTTTAGAGCTCCGATGGTCTTAGCGACCCCTGTGAAAAAGTCGTTTGACCCCCAAAGGGGTTGCGACCCCCAGGTTGAGAACCGCTGCTTTAAAGGATGAGTCCCTTTGGCTTCCGACTTTTCCAGCCCCTGGGAATATCTCTTTTTGAAATGCAGCTTTCGTTAAGAGCAGATGTTCATGCCCAGCAGATGTTCAGAGCAAAGGCTCCAGGACATACGGAGTGGGCGTTTGTAGGTTGCCCCTTTCCAGCCGTACAAAGACCTCAACAGAGAGAAGAAATGTTTCCGAGGGGTTGGCCCAGGTCCAGGTTTCAGCCGCCATTGGCCTGAAATGAATGGGACTCTGGATATCGAGAAGGTTGTTTCCATATATGTCACTTTCTAGAAATCTTCCAAAATCTTTCTTTTATTTCTTCATTGCACCAAGTGTGTTTTCAAGGTTACTTTCAACTGTTTCTGATTGGTTCCAGAATGTGGATAACAACATCATGGTGATCGGAGTGCCGAATGTGGGCAAATCCTCAGTCATCAATTCACTGAGAAAGCTGCACCTCGGGAAAGGTATTTCCTGTTGCTTCTGGCCAAGCAAACCGATACATTCGAATTGAGCATTCAGGAGAATCGGTACACAAGGAGGAAAGTCGTGAGCATATTTATAATCCTGAAAACATGGCGGTCCGGTTCAAATTTGCAGAATGTTTCACATTAGTGATCAATTCTTTCAAAAGTTAGAAATCTAAAAACCCAGCTAAGTAAGTTCTTGGATGCCAAGGAAAGAGTTGTTGGAGAGATAGAGTTTTTCAGAAATCTGTCCAGCAATGGTGGGAACTGGGTTGAGACAGTTAAACGTGGGGATGGGAGATCCCTGCTTGGTTGCCAGAAAAGGACCGGTGAGCCAAGGAGGAGCCAAGATCTCCTTTTGATTACGGTTGATTATTGGCCTGAAACAAGAGGGACAATTAGTTCCTCAGACAACATGACAAGTTAAGCGCTGCCGTCTTCAATTGCACATCATTGCCTTTTTCTTTTCTTCCTTTCCCTGTGACAAAGGAAAAGCCGCGCCAGTTGGTGGGGCACCAGGTATAACCAGAGCAGTTCTGACCAAGATCCAGGTAATCTAAGAGTTTATTCAAAATGTTGGTTCTTCAGTAGAGAAGACCTGAAGGCAGGTCTAGGGAGGGGGTGCCTGAGGGAGCCCATCATTTTCAGCAGAGCTCGGCAGATGCTCCCGCCTTCTCCTCCTCCCTTTTGACTGACAGATAATAGGGTTGGTCTTCTTAACTGAGCGGCTTCCTCTGTCACTCCCGTTAGGGAGGACTGCTTGGAGGGATAACGGGGATTAATAACGTGGCACAGTCCAACCCCTGTCGGCTTAGAGGTCCACGTAATTCTAAGATTAAAATGAGGTGTATTTCAGGCTTTTGTGGAAATAAAAGAACGGCAACCAAATCTAGTAACCAATTGTTGCATTATAACAGTTTTTAAAACAATATGTCTCAAACAACTGTGCCTTATCTCCCGAGAGCCACTAGCGGTTAAAGAATCTAGATGATGCTGGGAGTTCAGTCCTGTTTTAGGCATAAAAGTTGGTTGAGCAACCTTCGTTTTGTTAGTCATGGTGGGTAATTCTAAAGAAAATGGAAAACAAGTTGATGTCTTCAATCAGCTCTTCCGCATGTCGGAAACCGTCACGTCCTATAATTCTCCGCGGCAGTTTTTGAGGGTACAAAATTGAATCCGATACCTTCCTGTTCCAGGTGTCTGAAAAGCCCCTCATGTACTTGCTGGATACTCCTGGGGTGCTGTCCCCCCAAATTGAGTCCGTTGAGACAGGGCTGAAGCTGGCACTTTGTGGTGAGAGGACTCTGAGTTGTCTTACAATGTGGGATAGGTGGCTGTACACCAATGGGGCTCCTCGTTTTGGAGGTGACTAATAGACCAGTACAAGACCTCACCTCCACCCCGTCTTCTCATTGGTTTTTTTTACCCATTTCAGCCATCGGTGTTAAGGTTTCAGCTTTTAATGCCTGATGGTTTAAGGTTTGAGTCCTATAATTGTTTCCTTCTTTATTCAGAGTAGGATAAACCACCCAGGGTTCCGTGGTGGAGGGTTGGGTAGCAGCCACGTTTAATAAATAAATGAGATTAAGGACTTGGACCAGAATCGAGACAACTACATTCAAGTCCCTCCTTCCCACTCCCCTTCCCCCTTGCCCAGATTGTAGCAAGGATCAAACAAAGGAAGACACACACACACACACACAGAGGGAAGCTGCCTTGAGCCCTTGAAGAAAAGGCAGGCCGGGCAACTGAACATGAGAATGGGAGCGATGGGGTTGGTGGGCGAGGGAGCCTTCAGGTCCTGCTGGATGAGCACAGGAGGGCCCTGCAGCCGGTCTGCTTTGCCAAGGAAGGAGGCCAGCCAGCAACCGCTTTGCCCAGCAGTTTTGACTCGGGCTTCTCCTTCCCTGCAGCTCTTCATCTGCCCCTTTGTGCAGCCTTTTCTTCCTTGGGTGACACCTGCCGTCTCCACAGTCTTGAGAGTCTTAATTCCCGCACCGTTTGTCTCATGTCTGTGGAGTCCAGGTGTGTTGCATCCTCTCCAAATTGGCATCCGCCTTTAAGCCTGACTCTCCGGCTCTGCTGCTGCTCTGCGTCTGGGGCTGTTTGGGGCTGCAGCCGTCGTGCCGCTGCCTGCCCTACTTTTCCAGCAGGGCTACCTGTACATTTCCCTGCCCTCCTTCCTTTACTCAGG